AAGGAGTTGACTTAAGCTAATTTAGTTTGTATTTTGTTTGGATGGTTGGCTCGATTTAGTGTTTTTACTTCTACGAAACTCGAAATAGTCATTAAAGTCTAGGCCATTCAGTCTTGTAGCATTCCACTTCAGATAGGTATTCTCTTCGATGCTAAAGTGTGTTCCAGTTTAGCAATATGCATCGTTCTTCATATGATATCTCGCGTAGTTTTTGACCAAGCGCGTTATCCTCGATGCTCTTCTGTTTTATGTTTGCCGTGTTTGCATCAGCCAAGATCAAAAGCTTCAATTACTTTAAAAATGACAATATGAAACCATCAGTTAACGAACCAAAATCGTCCAGTTTGTGACCTTGGAACTGTGCTACTATTTAACTGGTTTTGAGTTCAAAATTTGTCGTCGGACCTAAAACATTACCGGACCTCTTCGGACGTTTTGAGAAAGACGGGCCCCTGGCTGGGTACGAGACAGGGGTACGAGATTACGAGATAGGTACTTTAGACGAGTTCCCGCTGACCCCTAAGTCTGCCGTTATTGGGGCATGTGACATGTGATTCCTAGGAATTCAGCTGAAAGGTCAGCTGTCTTGATGATGGAGGGAAGAAGGACAAAGCGTGGAATGAAACGAAGGTATATATATGGTGTTGAGTCTTTGCCTTTTTCGTTCATCTTTTGAAGTTAGTTACTCATAAAGCTTTAATGTGCTGTTTATTCATACATATCACGCATTTCCAGCGGGCAGCGAGAGGATTGCTCCACGCAAAGAGCACGTCTTCTCGTTGCATCTTTGTGCACACTTTTCGTTGGGCATGACATTCGCTTTTTTCTCCAGGGTGAACTAAGGTGAATGACTTTGCGTTTTAACGCATGCTTTACTTGTTTTGCTATCTCGTTTGTTTGAGAATTTGACACGTTCTTTTTGTGCGACGTTAGTGAATCAAAAATATTGCTTATGAGGTTTTCGGAAGAGTGTTGTTTGCGTTATATCCAAAGGCAAAGAGGAAATTTGAAAAATTAACAATACCGTAAATCCTCTATTAAGCTCCCCCTCCCCTCTCCTAATTATTCTTCACGTAATATATCAAACATGAGATGCAGTGTTTCATCACCAGATGAAACACCGAGAAGAGAGTTGAAAATACGACGCGCAGCGGAGTATTTTTGACGAACTTCGAGGTGTTTCATCTGGTGATGAAACACTGTGTCGAATGTTTGATATTTCTTCTCAAACAAAATCATTTTTGAAGGAGAAATTAAGGATGCAAATACTAAGCAGTGTTTCATCCGATTTCCAAACACTCATTAAACATTAATTTCCTTTGTATTTTCTTAATGAATTATTAATGAGTTTGAGAATAATAAATGATAGACTGTGTCAATCAATCACGACTGTAAAACTTCGTGTGGCTGATCCGGGATGGTTTATTTACCAATTGATTCTGATCCTCGTCAGCAAGACCTCCAACCTTCTTGCCTTTGAGCATTCCCAGTTTGTATGGTAGTTCATTTCCTTGTGGAGAACTGATAACCATCTTTTTTTGTAAATTAAATAAGCCATCCATTTCTTTTAACCCTTTAAGACCTAAATTGCTTGAAGGGGGTTTTGAGCACCCCTACTGACACCCACTTGAAGAAGGGTGATAACTTCTTAATGATAAAGAGAACCATCCCATAAACTATATATCAAAATAATCAACATGAAATGTTCTTTTTATTTCAATGACAGCGAGCTACTCTTAAAGGCCTATTTGAGTCCAGGGTTCCTAAATTCAAAACACCACCATTATTTTTTTTGTTGTAAACTCCAAGTCGGCAACCCGTGAACCAATTGGGCTGAAATTTGGCCAACTTACTGTCGGATAGTTTTTCTAAAAAAACATGTGTGCGAATTTTGATTTCTTTTTTCGTTTTCGAGTTAGAGTAGTTTTTTTCACAGGTAGGGCTAATGATTTGCTATCCCTGACTTCAACTGCTTATAACAAAAGAACAAACGCACTTGACAAAAATCAGAGACACGGTTTTTTAGTCAAACGTGTTAAGAAGCGAATACAATCTTAATTGGCTTCTTCTGTTTATTTTTGGCTGGCCTGGACTTAAATTTACAGTGACACCCACGTTTACAAAAAGCTCCTCATTTCTAAATCGGGTTAATATTCTGATTTTTTAAAAGGAATGAGCAATAATCTAAAACTATTAAGCTTTCAGAAAATGTATGGTTTATGGGGGTATTTATTAAAAGCAAAAGCTCTGGCGCCGATCAACGCAAGGAGGGTGCTTGAGGGTGGATGATACCTTAAAGGACCCTAAAGATCTCAAAAGCAAAAAAATCAGTTTAAAGCTTTGCAGCCGAGCCATGATTG